TAAATAACCTAAGTTTATTTTGAGGTAGCTTCTACCCCACGAGTTGAATTAAAGGTTAAAGAAGTACACACATACGTCAATATAGCAAATATAATAGGAAAAAAACTCTAACCAATGAAATTTGTGGTTGACGATATCGTTTACGGCTGCTGGTGCCGGGCATTTAACACCTGCCTTGAGGTATTTTATTTAAATTTTTTTTAAATCTTTCTTTTTAATGTTTTGTTTTTTCTTGCTTGTGCGTAAGAGAGTCATTTGCTAACTAAATGAATTTTGTGTGGCAATGGCAAACTTTCGAGTAAATCATTTTGCCATGAAATAGCTTGTCAAAAAACCATCTGCCATTCGGAAGCGACGTAAAACTGTAGGTCCCGCCCCTTTGTGAGGCAACACATCGAGACGCACACCCCAAACCAGAGGAGAAGCTCTGCCAAAAACATATAAAAATGTGTAGGTGTTTTTTTTATTTTCATTGCCTACTTTAAATACTTAAAATTTTTTGCAGCTCTCTTTTGAATACCATTCAAGTTACACTTTTAACAAAATTTTAATAGCCAATTGACAGTTGGTATAGTAATTTGTTTTGCTTCTTTTATTCGCTAAGGCTTCAATTTACTAATTTCTTCACTACTTTCTTTTTTCATATTCCGATCTTTGCTCAATCGCAGGCTATCCCTGTAGGCATCTTTTCTTCCAATAATTGAATGTGTACCTACCGACCGCATTCCTTGGACATGAATTGATCCATTCATTACTTATATTCATCACTTATATTTATAATTAATTCAGTTATACAAATGTATATGTACATGCATATTTTTGCGGTTATTAAATAAACGGTATACACAGGCGAATGTAAAAAAAATTTCTTAGTGACCGATTGAGATCAATGTGTAATAGCCATTTTTGAATGTGGTTTCCTCAAGATGACGACAACCTGTTCGCCGAACAGTGGAGCATTTATGTACATTCATATGACCATTTAAAAACGTCGATCCTCACCGAGTGGCAAATTTTGTTTATTTTTAAAAAGCTTTAAGTCCTTTTGATAATCGTTCGGGTTGGCGATAAACGATTCTAACATTAAGCTCCTTTGTAGGGCCTCAAAGAAGAGACAAATATTAAGCAACAGCTAAAGATCTTTTTATTTTCCCTGGAAATTTTTATTTGAATGACACTATTCCCCAATTTGCATTCAAAATATTTTATGTGCATATACCTAATAACTTTTTATATGAATTTTTTCCACTCTTGTTCCACTATCCAATGTCATCAGCTTCATTCATTGCCGTTTTGGTCGATTTCCCAATCGAATTTTTTTGAGCATCGTCACACATTGGTCATTTACCTTACTTCGTGATTTAGTCATAAATAAAATATTTTGTTGAAATATTTTATGTAAAAAGAAGAATATTTGCACTGCCAAAAAGGCTTGCTTTCAAATAGAACTGGTATAAGAGTAATTTTACTTTTACAGTGACTCAAACAATTATTCACATGTTGACTTTTTGTAAATATGTATTCACAGGGTTTTTCAAGTTGATTTTTGGTTTTACTTTTTATAAATACATACATATATTATATTGTTCATGCTATAACCAAAACTAAATACTTAAATACAAGTTTACCAATTTATATACAATTTAGAAAAATTATCAACCAAGTTTTGTGCTTTTTTTCGTTAATTTTTAGGCCTTTTGCAGTTTTTGGGTATGCAGTTTTATAGCCTATAAAAATTTGGATATTAAAGTTCCAGTTTCTAATGAGCAAGCCCGTTCGCAAATAAAATTTCAACGCCAGTTTTGTTGCATTTCGTCTATATGAAAAAAGAACGGCGACAAAAAAAATATTAAATTTGCTCTACACTTGGACTTGCCCTTGCAGCCACACACACACGCACGTTTAAAAATTATTCGTTCACGTACAACCAGGGCAGCTTTCGTGGTGAATTGCTAAGAACTCGGAATGAAATTTCCGGCATTTCGGTTTAGAGGAGAGAGCTTTTGACTTTTTGTGCACAGGGTGTAATCTAAAATTAAAACTTGGCAAATATTTACAGCAAAAGTACGACCACAGGGGGGTTACAAATAGGAAACGCTTGCACAGAGTTGCAAATTTGCAGGGTGCACTTGATGACTATATTTTTCCAAACGTACATAGACATTCACTTTGCAAATTATGTCTTGCTATATACATATGTGTCCGCTGTGGCGTAATGGTTAGCAGTTGCGGTGAAATTTTTTTTCTAAAGTTTATTGACCTCAAGTACCGCATTCTTTATAACACTAATCCACCAGATTCTAGTTGTTATCATAATTTTTTAAGATTTTTATGACTTTTCCCGATATCCTTCAAATATAATTTTACGGAATTTTTCGAGATTCTTTGTGTGACCTTCTTTTGGGGTTTTTTTCGGTACTATTCGATATTTTTGTTGAGCTTTCGGCATCGCTATTATTATAAAATGTCTTACCATTTGTATGCTGCGCATGCTTGGCATGGAGTCTTGGTTCTACCAAAGACTATTTACATACATTCAAAGTGGGCTTATATCCAATTGTTGAAAATCGAGTGTAAAAATTGAGAATTATTGTTTTTATTTAAGTTTCAATATTTTAAATTAGTTTTTGGGAAATTGTTGTCAAGTCAATTATTGTTTCAAGCGGAACCTCAGTGGAGGTCCACTGATTGCGTGGGGCGCTTTCAGCGGTACTCTAAGATAGAGATGGGCGAGGGATATAGGGACCCGCGAGACTCACGGTACTGAATTCAAAATGGCCAGACGGGCAACATCTGGAAGGCCTTTAAACATTTTACGGACGCGACGGAACCAAAATTATTTCCCGACACTCCCGATAAAACCTGCATCCTTCGGAAATTCAGGAAATCGTCCTTAAAAACGTTTAATAAAATTTACACTTGTTTATGTTTTACTGAGACAAAAACGAACAGGAAAACAAAAACAATGTATTGTTATTTTTTCATTAATTAAAATTAATTTGAAAGGCATGTAGATTAATCTTACTTAGTTTTCGAAACCCACAGGACCCGCAGTAAATTCTGAAAAAACGTCGGGATGGGCGGGTTGAGGAATTAAAAATTGAATTTCGGCATGTGCGTGATCGGGATTGAATATTTAGTCCCATGCCCATAACTACTCTAAAACACCACTTTCCATTAATTGTTCACTTTCACTGATTGCTTCCTTATCTTGCTACAAATGCTGACAGAACATTAAATTTTCAGCAGGGTTAGCAGCAATTCATGTCAGTTTGTCAATAAGAGAGTGGTGTGAATACCCGGAATAATTACATAAATAACTAAAAGTGACAATTTGCAGCACTTATTTTGTAACTTCACTCCAAGCCGAATTTATAAAAAAACTCAAAGTAATGGAAATTGCGTACGTAAATAGAAATTTGCATAAACGCACTTGTTGGCAAATTTTAACGGTAGATACATTTCCAGTATCCAAACCGGTTTTTTCTCTCTCACTTATATATGGGATTCTTTACAATAAGGTTACTATTATTTCCATTTGACGTTGCACAACCTAGGCGTGGCTGCAAACGATGTATCGATATTAGCTATATCGATAATTTTTTAGTCCGATAAATCGGCAACGACCTTACTAGATGCCAAACTTATTGTCGGGCGAATGGCTTTCCATTTAGAAATTTTTTTTGATTATTTCGTAGTCAGTTGGAAATCGAATATTTACTACGGTGACGCACTCGGTGACCACCTGAAATGCTTATCACACATTTGGCATCACGCTTTAGTCACATAATTTTTCATAAAAAGTCTAGCCATACCATAGTTCATAATTCTTCATTCCTGAGCAAAACTACATAGAACGCGTACTAAGTTTCTGCGAAATCGGAACACATTTACTATTTGTTTTTTTTATCTATAGCTTATATCGAACAGCAACACTGTGCAAGGCACCGCTGGCAAAACAAAAAACTAAAAATATTTACAAAAGCAAAAACGTATAAAAATAAGCAGCGACAAAAGAATAAAAAAAGCAAATCTTTAGCTTAACTTACCAGCAGATGCTAAGCTGGCAGTGGCGATGATACCAAAGCTGATGGCAAAGTCATTGAGTAAATATTGTAGAATTCACTTTCTCACTGAAACCACGGATGTACATACATTAGGGTGGTCAAATTTTTATATGGGGGAAAAAAATTTCATCCTAGAAAACGGGGCACCCCTTAGTTTTTTCCTTTTGGTATTTGTAATATCTATACCAACTATCAGTTTTCTACTGCAACCAATACAGGGTGCTCAAAGGCCTTGAAATTCGCTACTGGATCGCTGTGAATCTGACAAAAATATTGGTGATTTTTATAAAAAGCTAATGTTGCCATGACAACTAAAGCTTGTGATATTTTAATAGATAATTTAAACTTGAAATTTTCTTAGCTTACTTAACCAACTGCTTGATTAATATATGTACACAACACTTCTAGAGTAAAATATGAACATCCTCTAAATTTATACTTGGCAACGTAAGGTTTGGTACCAGCACCTCTTTCGGCAAGAGGAAAAATTTTTGAACCCTATCTCGAAAAAAATTTTTTGAACCACTCTAATGTACATAACTACACACATATACGAGTATGTATATTATACATATATGAAAAAAAAGTGTGCGATATCTATACGAATGTATTGTAGATAAAATGTGCGGCACCCAAAAGACACTTGTGGGCGGCGAACAGAGAGGAACCGCTGAGGGAACCGGTGGTTATTAAGTACATACTTGTTCTGTTTTTATTTTTTGTAGAGTCTGTTTATAGTTCTGTGCCCAATTTTTCCAGTTTTTATTTGTTTTATTACTCAATTTGGAAACTAATAAGGCACACACTTAAACCTTACATGAAAAGTTAGTATTTGAACACTAACAACATCGAATTTCTATGTTTTAAATTTTAATTATCAGCCGGATGAGTATGCGTAAGCAATTAAAAAAAAACAGCTGCTAATTTCTTTACCTTTGTCACTGAGTACGTAGCATCAATGAGTCAAGCAAAAACAAATTCAAAATTTGTATGTACTAGATTTTTGTATGTATAAGTTTATTTTCGTTATCAAAAATTAAACGATTTTAACATCTGTTGATTGCCGCGAAAAACATTTACACTGCTGCTACAAACACCAAATACAAACCGGCTTGGACAAAATTTCAACGTAAACTGAAAAGGTAAAATGCTCGATCGCTTGTGGATAAATAAATACGTATGTATGTATGTATGTAGGCGTGCGATCGTATGCTGTATTGCTCAAAAGCTACGCACAGTGTTCTAAACTCTGATTGATACGGATAGAAAATCTTCTAAACTCTTTTTGCTTCGCGAAGAAAATCTGTGCTGCTTTAGTTTGTTTTGGAAATACATAACGCGAAAAAAGACGCGTAAAAAAACTTCAGCGAATATAGACTTTTAACATAGTTGACGGCGAAGAAAGGCGCGTTAAAGTCAGCTACACTATTGTAGGGTGGAAAAGTCGTTGCATACGCCTATGACTTTGCAAACGCATTCAGGGAAAGTTTCCGCAAACGCAATACGAGCTGATGCAGCGAGCGCTTCGAGATGTGTAAAAGTGGTCCACCCGTTGCAGCCTAAGCGTCAATTCAGGTAAGATGGAGCTCGTCCTCTTTACGAGAAGGTATACAGTACCTTCCATGACTCAATCGGAGCTAAACGGTGCACAGTGCGGCCAAAATTCGAGAAAATAAAGTTTCTAGATAGGCCTTTTTTTGACATTGAGTTGGCTGAAGGGATCACCTGAGAAGCGAAAACTGTTCACTGTAACGACCTGTCCTCTCAAGCACAATATTATTGTAATAAAAAGCGAAAAGTTATTAACGTATAAAAGTAGTTAGTGAATAGGAAATCAAAAAAAACCAAATGGATTCAACGTCTGAAGATTAGTAAAATACGTTAAAAAATTTGTGAAAACTGGTACTGTAACAGAAATTACAAAAAAATAAATAAAAATGTAAAGGTATTTTTTTCGTTTATTTTTAAACAAAATTTTAGTTGTTAAATGTAACAGTAATAACACGCTGTCGGATGCTGCCGTTAAACCTATTGGAGTTTACGTAGAAAATATTAGCTACTGAATAAAACAAAACTCAGATGCTCATTTCTGCTCCTTTTTTTTTGTAACACGTAACACATATTAGTTTCAGCTGTATGTAAATATGTCCAGCTTTTTAATTAGATTTCACATAAGGATTTTCAGTATGCAGTTTTGTGGCCTATTCAAGTTAAGTATAATAGGTGCAAATTTAAAGAAGCTGGAACTTACGGTTGGGTTTTGGATTTTTTTTTTAAGGTGTTGCCCATTTTCTTGATTTCATCGAACATACTTCGTATGGAAGAAAATATCTGGTACTATCAAAAAAACAAATCTCAAAAACCAACGGTAAGTCCTAGCTGCTTCAAACTTGAACTTTCTGACACTAAAATTGAATGGGCTATAAAACTGCATACTCAAAATCTTTCTAAGAAATCTAATTAAAAAGCTCGAAATTTACCAGACACCATACTGGATCCGCCAGTTTGAATTTTGCAATTCTGACAGCGGATTAGTAATTAGTGACCCCGAAACCAACCCTAGTACGAAATTTCGAATCACTATTTCAAAGCTTCGAATTTTGGCTGCACTTTTGGATTTCGGCCGCACTGTGCAGCGATTTGAAAGCGTCAAAGATGAAGAAGAAACTCAGCATAACATTAAATTCAAAAAAAAAATACTTTATTATGTAGGACAACTCGGAACTCCATAGAATTTTAAGTCGGTAGCATCGAAAACAACCATATATAATATACAGTGCCTCGAGCCGAAAAACATTTGTTAGGTCAACTCAGAACTCTATACATATCTAAACCGAATTTAATGCACTTACACTTTATGCCAAAACAATCAATTTTTTGCCCATAGTGTTCGTGGGCGATTTTCGGTTCTTTGGAATCCGGTTTCGGTTCTTTTGGAATGATTTTTCATTTTTCATTTTCGTTGTTGGTTTATCCGTCATCCCTTGTCAAATTTGGTTTAGAGACAAACCGGTTTCGGCGTTGTGCCATCTCTTTCTTTTTACTTATTTTTTTTTTTGTTACTTTGAGATTGTTTTCTGGTTCTTATGGAACCGTTTTTCGGATCTTTTAGAATTGAGTTTCGGTTCTTTTGGAATCAAGTTGGGTTCTTCGTTTTTCGACTCTTTTGGAATCTAGTTTCGATCTTTATAGAATCGAGTTTCGGTTCTTTTGGAATCGAGTTTCAGTTCTTTCGGAAGCATTTTTCGGTTCTTCCGGAAGCGTTTTTTCGACATTTTTGGAATCGAATTCCGGTTCTGCCGGAACCATTTTTCGGAGCTTTTGGAATCGAGTTTCGGTTATTTTTTGGAATCCAGTTTCGGTTCTTTTGGAATCGAGTTTCAATTCTTCCAGAACCGTTTTTCGGCTATTTTCTAATCGAGTTTCGGTTCCGTTAGAGCCTATCTCTACAGGAAATGGCAAAGCAGAACAGATTTCACCTCACTTTTGTCCCTCGGTACATAGAGAGAAATTGTATGGCAGACGAAGTTGCAAGGCAGGACCCAACGAAGCAGATTCTTTCCGGTGTAGAACACACTGGTATTCCATATCCCACATGCAAGCTGCTACTTAAAGATTTGTATGCGGACAAGCTGGCAAAGTACAACTTATCGAATTTCCAAGCCTAAATGGATTTTGAGACGATGTATACTCTCTGAGGATAGAAGGTTTGTCTAACGCTGTGGTAGCTCTGACCAGGCACATTCTAATAGGAAAACATGCAAGACCTACGAAGAGGTGGAAACGGTCTAACTTATGCTGTGTCAGACTGTGGTAACACGATGGGCCTTCTATACATGGCCTAAGTATGCCGCCCAAGCGGCAGCCACTCTTACCTTCCTACCTATTTAATTCTTTGTGAGTGGTGTGAAATAATTCCGTCGTACCGTCGTTAATGTATTGGGCTCATGTCATATCGTTGTCGGCGTTGATAAGAAAGATTCCGAAAATACATTTGGCGCTACATTTTTTATTTAAAGTCTCACAGTTTCTTTTGCTATTTTACACCTTACAACAAATAATAATTAAAATCGTAGATAGTATGAAGAAAAAAAATATTTATTCAAAAAATTTCATCCAAATAATAATTAAAAAGGAAATCGTAGATAGTATACAGAGAAAAAATTCAAAACACCGTATTTGCCCACCGTTGCCATAAGGGGTTAATGCCTATCTAAATCCAACACTCTGGTATATTTTACCACTTAAGCGAACAATTCACCATTTCTATCAAAGACACAAACCATGTGGTGGAAAGTTTGGTTTGATGACAGTCTGCCACGGCTAAGAAGAACTTTTATTTTTATACAGGCAATGCCAAACTGGTGCATCTCTTTCAAAAAGTACGCGTCTTCATCGATTAGTTCGGCTCCGTGAATCGTTTAAAAAAATTTGAGAAACGACATTCAAGTTTTCTTCGATTGATGCATATTGAACTACGTTTTGCCACATAAAATCTATAACACATAATTTTAAAAAATTTGATTTTGGGGCTGGTTTAAGAAAATAACATGGGAGAGCAGAGGACCAAAGAATTCAATGACCTTTCTCCTCCGACTCTAGGGCTCCTCAGGGAAGCCTCTTGAAAATAACTCTACATAAATATATGGCTAACATTACAAATAAAATGCAAAAATTGTAATTTCAAACATTATGCAAATTTTCATTAAA